TTTCCAAAAATTTATATTCTTATTTTCTTTCTAATAATTATTGTAAATATCAATTTTGAGTGAATAAGCTTCAGTAGTTATCAAAATATCGCAGTTTTCGTATTTTTGAAAACTACCGCTATATTGTAGGAAGGCGTGGTTATTGTCCGTTTTTTCAATACCTGCGCTAAAAAGAAGTACACATACTAAGTTTCGTTAAGATATCTCAATTTTTACTCGAGGTATCGTGTGCAAAGGCGGAGAGACAACGGACGGACGGACAGACAGTCACCGCTTAATCGATTTCTTTTTTCATTGTGATAATTTACGTATACATTTGCCTGTTACAAACAACCGTTATGTGAACAAAGTTATAATACCCGTGTGCACCAGTGCGCCCGGATATGAAAATAAATATTTTAGAATTTCATTTGAAAATGCTCATTTGCAATTAATAAACGATCCGATTTTAAAACGCGTGTATTAAAAAAAACATCGATGTTAGAAGTTGAATTGAATATAAATATTCGTTGTCACAACTTGAAATAATAATGCAAAACCTATTTAAACAAAAACGTTTTTAAAAGTAAAACGCTCCATACAAATTTGTAAACGATATCTATGTAGGATATATATGGCGCTTAAACGATTTTGCGTTTCTTTGTATGCGTACTTAAAAGATAGGGTTTATTAGGTCATCTAAAAAGTAAATTTGTAGAGGGGCATCTAAAAATCTCGACTCCATCGCCATCGGTCGGCCCGATTTTTGGTAAAAGTATATTTTATGATGCAGATCATCCAAATAAAATTATCAAACCGTAAGAAAGATTTTTAGTTAACCATAAATTAAAGGAGACATAAACATTTTCTTATTGCCTTATGAACAAAGCAAAGTTCTAGAGAATTCTGAAGACTTTTAAATTAAAATGTAAGGTCTGTGGAAATAAATAAGACTTTTGACAGAATAATATCTTCTCCTTTGCCCCATTCAGTAATAATTATTGCTGAAATTATATTGGTTATCATATTCTTTACTACCAATATTTATTAATTATTAAGGTTAGGTGGATAAAGGTGATATTCCCTGAACGGAGACGGCATCACGGTTGCCAACATTTGGATTCTTGAAACCGGGACGCATAATAAGTCTGTTCTTTTGCTCGCCAGCAGCTGCCCGAGAGTGACCAATTTGTGTCTCTTTGGTTGGCTCTCGAGCTGTTGAGAGCCATATTCCGGGCGAGTTTGTGAAAACTTTCCAACTGCCAGAAGAAGAGGAAAAATTTTAATTCTATCAAAATGTAAATGACTGTTGTTCTTCCAAAAAAAATTGATTAAAAACGGCCTCAAGCTCAATCAAAATGTTGAGTATATGTAATTGTTATAAGACCATAAATATCAAAAAAAGTAAAATTTCATTTATAAAAATGTTCATCAAACGAAGCTTCAATGATAATATTTCTAAATTACTTAAAATCTTTACCAAAATTTAAATAAAAATTTAGGTACGTATAGTGCCACACTAAATTATTGGCATAAGGAATTTTTCACAATGCATGCATTATTTTTTACTTAAAAGTTTCGGCGAATTAAAAAAAAAAATATGGTTGATACTACAACAAAAACAAAAAAAAAATCTCTTAAAAACTTAGGAAAATTCAATAAATTTGCCTACACGTTGGCATTTAAAGATAACAACATGTCAGTTTGAAGTTAGTAAAAAATCGTATTGACCTTTCGGAATTTATTTGCAGGTAGTTTCTTCCAAACAAAAAAAACAAGATAACGAACATAATTTGTGCTGCGCCCCCTTGTACAAACTTATTTACATTTATGATGTCTGCTTTAATGCGTAAAAGGATTTCAATTGGCAACGCCAAGGGCATACCGGCGCTTCAACGCCGGTCAGATTCAACTAACCTAACCTTATCACTGCAGTCTACATGTCTACATGCCGCCTCTAGGTGTTTCCGCAAATAACCATCCGTAAGAAAAAGCCCTTCTCGATTTTGTTCCTTAAAAATTCTGTTTAGGGCTGTAAAGTGCACTAACATACATTCGGTGGGTGTGGTTCAGGGTTCTTCAGATACATTTTCTACACACGAGAATATGACCTGGCTGGTGTCAACCAAATCATACAAATAAAAATAAAATAAAATAATTGTTTAGGAATCTGGAAACTCCAAGAATTGTGCCATCTACGTCATCAAGACGTAAACAAGTCGTAACCTTATATTCTATGAACCTTGGCTAGAACAGCTGATTTGATTCGCCACGGTACACATGTGTCAAAATTACTTATGAGTGAGTGAGAAAGGATGGATGGTACCCTGAGCAGAAGTCCACGTAAGTGGGGAAAGCTCGCGACGTCCGGATATTTATATCCACGTATCCTTTGGGCAGCGACCTAACGCCCATTTGGGAGCGCGCTAAAGTGAGGAGTAAAACTTCGCGTGCGCCGGGTTTGGGTCCCGCCACGTTAAAACAACGCCCAATGAAAAGTAAGAAAACACGGAAAACGTATAAAGCACTATAATTTTAGGGTGTGTACCTAGAGTATCCGGACCCTTAATGAGGAAGGTGTCTCTGTCCGGCTGGTTGATGTCCTCCCGAAAACTACTGCTGGCATCACCGCCATTCAGGAAATGCGAGCCTTGCGACGTAGACTACAGATGCCACGTAAAGGAGCTGAAATTCGGTGTTGGATTTATGGTGGGAGAGAGACTCCGTCGCCGAGTGCTGGCGTTCACCCCGGTGGACGAACGTCTAGCCACAATCCGCATCAAAGCGAGATTCTTCAACATCTCGCTCATATGCGTCCATGCTCCGACAGAAGACAAGGACGAGGCGTCCAAGGATCTCTTCCATGAGTTCTTTTAGAGAACATATGAGCGCTGCCCCCGGACACGATATAATAATCGTTCTTGGCGATTTCAATGACAAGGTGGGCACAGAAGGGATCTCTGATGCCACTGTCAGAAAATTTATCCCCCACGTCGAAACATCCAATAACGGACTGAGGCTAATTGACTTCGCCGGGAGCCAAAATATGGTAATATGTAGTACTAGATTCCAGCATAAGAAGATCCACCAAGCTATATGGCTATCTCCACATCAAAAAACGAGACACCAAATCGACCATGTTGTGACAGACGGAAGGCATGCTTCCAGTATTTTATACGTACACTCCGAGGACCAAACATTGTCTTGAACCACTATCTTGTTGCAGCCAAGTTACGCACTCGCTTCTGTGCAGCAAAAATATGCGCCCAACAATGCAAGGAAAGCTTAACGCCGAATCACAACAGATAGCCAATGCATTTGCCACTCGACTCACACACCACAACAAACCACATACGCGAGTAGTGCGACCACATTTCCCGCTCATTAGGTACCGTCGCCGAAGAAATAGTCGGATTTCAGCGAGCCCGAAAGAACAAGTGGTACGATGAGGAGTATCAAGAAGCTGCAGAGAAAAAGATGCCCCCTACCAAATACAGAAGCGAGACGTATTTGCCGCATTAAGAAGAGAGAGGTCGAAATACGTGAGAGCTGGAAATGCTGGCCGACAGGAAAAACGCCCGAGAGTTAGACGACTTACCGAGCGTTTCCATACCAGGGCGAAATCCTGTAAGAACAACTATGGTGACCTAAAAACTAATATCCAGAACGTACTTAAATTATGGCGGGAGCACTTTTCCACCCTATTGAATGGCAGGAGCACTGAAAGTGGTGGAGAAGACGAACCCGGGTCCCCAGTCGATGACGATGGAGTCGATGTCCCACCGCCTGAGTATGACGAGGTACGAATAGCGATCACGCGACTGAAAAACAACAAAGCTGCTGGACCTGATCCCTGCCAGTTGAGCTATTCAAGTACGGCGGCGAGGATTTAATAAGGTGCATGAATCAGCTCTAATGCATAATATGGTCAGATGAACGGCGAGGAGTTGATGAGGTGAATGCATCAGCTCTAATGCAGAATATGGTCAGATGAACGCATGCCCGACGACTGGAATTTAAGTGTGCTCTGCACAATCCACAAGAAAGGCGACCCCGCCATTCGCACCAACTACCGCTGGATCAGCCTTCTAAGCGTAGGTTATAAGGTCTTATCGAGTGTATTGTGCGAAACACTGAAGACCACCGTCATAGCGAACTGATTGCACCCTATCAGTGCGGCCTTAGGCCTGACAAATCCACCACAGATCAGATATTAACAATACGCCAAATCGTTGAAAAGACCCGCGAGAATAGGATCGACACACCATCTATTTTTCCATTTCAAAGCCGCTTTAGACAGCACGAAAATAAGAGCCGTTTGATTCCGAACGACGTTTCAGACAAGGTGACTCCCTTTCGTGTGATTTCTTTAACCTGATGTTGGAGAAGATAATAAGAGCCGCAGAACTGAACTGCTCCGGCACAATACTCTAAAAGAGTGTACAATTTCTGGCATATGTCGACGACAAGGATATTATCGGTAAAAACAAGGGCTACATCTTTCTGCCTTCTCGTTATTGGATAGAGAAGTAACGCGAATGTTGTTGGTGGTGAACGAGGACAAAACGAAGTATCTTCTGTCATCACACAAACAGTCTGAGCACACGCGTGTATGGCGCGGAGGCATGGACAATGAAAACATCTCTTACAGTTTTCGAGGGAAAGATTCTGTGAAAGATTTACGGGCCTTTATGAGCTTTACAACGACATAGACATAGCGCAACGAATTAAAATTCAGCGGCTCCGCTGGCTTGGCCATGCCGTTAGAATGGACAGAAAAGCTCCTAAAAGAACAAATTTTCTTCTACCAAAATTTCTTAAACCAGTATGCAGCTGCCTAAAACAAAAAAGCCTGTATATGTATTTGTTTCTTCAAGAAAATTTACAGCAACATCAGGGTACCATTTCAAGCAACTGAAGTAGAAAAATATTTCTAGTGAACCTAAATTTACATTTTCATAACGTCCGTTTCTACAAGTTTGCCTATATGACTTTTTATGAAAACTTTTTTCTTCAAATTCTTACCTCTTATGCTGTAATCGCTTGACACGATCTCGGATATCTGCGGCCAGCGTTTCGGCCATCTGTAGTGAACGCCAGGAATCATAAGAGCGACCAAAGCGATCCCACGTCAAGCGTTCCTCAATAGCCGCCTCGATTAGCTTATAAATAGCCTCCATGCTAAAATTATTACGAAAGTATTCCCAATCGCGTTTCGGCTGCTCCGCCGCACACTCGGATTCTTCACCTTCGCCAGCGCTGGAATGCAGTTTTTGCAAAGCACGCTTCTTGCCCAACATTGACTCCATAAGCAAGGCATTCATGCGATTGGTGGTCCGCACAGACGCGGTGATGCTGATAAGAAGAAATAAAAGGAACCAAAAAGGAAAAGTGGTAATGTTGTTGAAACTTTTTAATTTATTAAGGTAAACTGGTCTTTAAAAAATATATTACCGTGTTCGCACGCCACTCCAAGTAGACATTTTCAAGCAATCAATCAATCAATAAATAGTCGTCTATTTTCACTTAATTTACTAGCAAATTTTCTCTACCTGAAGGTTATCAGTTTTTCCTAGACACCGGAACTGCCACTTGACGAGCCATCAGAAATGCAACGCGCATGCAACTGAATCACTGAATTGGCGCCGCACTGCGACAACCCCACAGCGACGCGCCAAATGCCAGCCGCCGACAATTGACTTGCTGATGCTAACGGTTTTCAACATGCATATTTGCCTTCAAACTATTGTTCAATGTATCGTTATGTACCTCTGCAGCAGTGATAGCAGATAGCTTTCAATGCCAAGCATTTGCTCCCCTCTCTCCTTTTCTTGGTTGCATACAAGTTGCGATTGTTTTGACAACATTGTGACATTTGAGGTTTGCTGAGGTTTCTCTGTTGGCGTGTTGCTAGTCGTAAATCATCACCATTACCTGTGACTATGACAGTACCCACAAGATTGCGCGCAAAACATAATAATAAAACATATGGTAAGCGCAAGAACGCAGCGGGGCGGTGGAATACGTACATACGTATATTGAAAGGCCTTCGTTCTAATGGTGTTGGCATATGTTCATTACATTATAGAAACTAAATATGTATGTAATAAATAGTAGCAGGCCCTTGTAACCCGGGAATTCGTCTGCGATGTTACGGAAAATTATTTCCACTCACAATTATTTAGTAAAAAAAAAAGTAATTCGCACAGTAAATATTTTTGAAAATTGTTCGAAGACATCGCCGAATAGTTGAAGTTAAGGATTCCCTACCTAAAACCCCTACTACGTAGTAAAAAACGACATTAAAGCAAATTTGAGGTTAATTAGGTACGTTCGTTTAAAGTATTCAGTAAAAAACATCCAACAGCAAAATTCCTGCCAAATGTCATCTGTTCTCTAATAAGAGAAAAATAACCAGAATAGTACGCGAACAGAAAATTTGCAGAGACATACAAGTTAGACGAACAGCAGATAGAATATTTGTTTATACTTAAACGTGTAAAATTTAAAACGTACGAAAACTCACCACAAAGTGTTATCCTGGCACAGTTCATTAATTAAACGAATACCTTCTTAGTTCTTACAAACCATATAATACAATTAGGGGATTCACAAGACGTGTTAACCGTCGTAAAATCTTAAGCTTAACACTTGTTTATGTAAAATAGCGGTTAAAATGGTTGGGGGGTTGGCTAATTATATATTCTTTATCAGTTTAAAAGAATTTCGGTTTAGTTAGAAATCCCCTAAAACCATTTTAATTAAAAAAGATGTTAACCTTAAGATTTTACGACGGTTAACACGTCTTGTGAATCCCCTAAATGTTATAATTTGCGTAAATTCTTACCAACTGTTTTTGATCAGCTGTTTTCCTGTTGGCAAATTGCTGTTGTCAAAAATTTTTCCAGCAGAAACTAAAAGCTTCCCCTCAAAATGAAATGTCACTTTGCACTCTCATCTTCCCCTGCTTTACAAGTTGTTTGCGTTCGCGAACTAAAAAAACTGATAGTTTTTGATAACTTTAAATAATTAACAGGTACGTTAACGCAACTATTGTAAAGTACTTATAAGTACTTATGTACATATGGTCGGTAATTTGACTTGCATGGTCAAATCTATATTTCTGTAAAAAAAAAGGATGGCAAACAAATTACCATCGAAAGGCTTAGAGTAAAACTTTTTCTTCATTGTCTTTAAAACCCACCGCTAAAAGGGATATGGTTTCGATGTTGAGTCATAAACCATTTATAGAGGGCCTGCTCCATTCTAGGAAATTCACTTTCCTTTAGAGACTTACGTAATGATTTCGTTCGATGCGTTTCTCGTACGTATTCCTCGTTTTTAAATTTCATTTCTTTTTAACCGACTTCAAAAAAGGACAAGGTTATCAATTCGTCGGAATATTTTTTTTATGTATGCTACCGCATAACTTTGGACCGCGTTAAACGATATCTATAATTCTAGTTTTCGAGCAACTTAGGTTTAAAATTGCTGAAAAAACGTGTTTTTGGTCATTTTTGAACCTCTGTAAAACAATAAATTGATGCAATATATTTGTCTGTCTGGGACGATATGAAAGCTCAAACACTGCCCTTTAATACTGAAAATCAAAAAATTAAGGTTCGATCACTGTAAGCAATTGAGAACAAGCGTGCCTTTTTGTTTTTACAAAAAATCTTCTTTTACCCCTCTTTGGTCGCTTGTTTTAAATGAATCTGAAGCGCTGGATATTTATAAATAATAATCTAATATATAACAAGTAAGAAAGCCTAAGTTCGGGCGGAGCCGAACATTAAATACCCGGCGCAATTATTAAATATATGTTTTCCACCTTTCCGCAAGCTACCGCTACACGATAAGCCGGGGTGTATAAATTTTAAGTAAATTAGCGTCCTTAAATTTCGAAATATTGAAATTTCAAGCATATCTGAAATTTACCGTTATATGAAAAGCGGCCTCAATTTTAGTCCGATTTCAACAATTTTCAACGGTTTGCTTTTATGTGGCAAGCACAATAACCATA